TAGGATACTGGATTGCAGATTCTGAACCAGTTAGGATACTGGATTGCAGATGCTGAACCTGTTAGGACACTGGATTGTAGATGCTGAACCAGTAATTAGGATACTGGATTGCAGATGCTGAACCAGTTAGGATACTGGATTGCAGATGCTGAACCAGTTAGGATACTGGATTGCAGATGCTGAACCAGTTAGGATACTGGATTGCAGATGCTGAACCAGTTAGGATACTGGATTGCAGATGATGAAACAGTTAGGATACTGGATTGCAGATGCTGAACATGTTAGGATACTGGATTGCAGATGTTGAACCAGTTAGGATACTGGATTGCAGATGCTGAACATGTTAGGATACTGGATTGCAGATGCTGAACCAGTTTGGATACTGGATTGCAGATGCTGAACCAGTTAGGATACTGGATTGCAGATCCTGGACTGGATTGGACTGGTCCTGCCTTCAATAAACATCCATGCGGTTTAGATTGTTTTGCATGTTTAGTAACTCAGAGGAATGTGGTTTGGTTATTCACTCAAATATTGTGCTCCATGTAATTCCTTTTACCAAGTTTTCAGTTACTTGCTTATAGGCAATAAACAGTCATTGAATGATGCAAGGTTGGGTATGGGTGCATCGTACCCATCGATTGAACACAGCATCAATATCTCTCACTTGGATATAATTTTAAATTAAAGTCTGAGAACAGTTGAGAAGAGTCGTTTTCATGCCCTTTGTTGGTCCATGCGATCCTGGGTCAATGTTAGCTGTTATTTCAGTATATTTCCTATTTCCTTAGTAGGCGTCTACATACATGAAATTTAGATTTTTTTTATAACCACAGTCTGTGCAATTACTGAGACTCCGACCCCCAAGAAAAGTTCTTTATTGCTGTATATTCAAACAATACAAAAAGTATGCACTTTTGCATGAGAACAACAAATTTGGCCCATATTTGGTTATGTAATAAATTATACTTAGATTGTCATTATATGTAGCCCTGTAATAAGTCAGTTCTTGTAGGGAAAACTGGTTCCCGATATCCCTGTCAGAAATGATAATGCAGGCAAACAGTCTCGTGTACTCAGTAGGGTAGGGGGCCTGTTTGCATGGAAAAGCTGCCAAATTAAATGCTACTTGTTCTGAGGGTTGTAAATGTCCCAAAACAGAACAAAAGAGTTGTTTTCTTCTGTTAAAATAACAAAAAGATGGAAAATTGGTAATTGGAAAACAAAATAATTTGTTGATTTTGGACAATGAGTCATCTTTAATGCCAAAACCCAGTTACTGGTCCTTATCATTGTTTTTTTTTTAACTGTACGCATGCAGTACTGATATGCGTGAAATGTTTTGGTTAAAGGGAATGTACAACATTTGCCTTTGCTGCAATTTTCAAAAATAAATGGATTTGGAGGATTATTATGTTATAGCAAATATTGTTCAACTGACTTGTTTCACGTTTTGGGCTTGTATATGCTGAAAAACCAAGAAAACCAATCATGTTCATGTAGTCTGGTTCCCTGAACCACTTAAGATGAAGCAGAGCAATAGGTAGACTTTGGGGAATTGTAAGGTCAGAGAATAAGTCTAGAAGGCTTGTACCCTTTCACCATTGTGTAATTCAATTGCAACGATAACGCGAATTAACTAAACATGAAAAATTAGGAACTGTTTTTTTAAGCCACTTTTTTCCCAATGCTGGTTGGCTAACCAGTGTTGGAAAAATAAAAATTTTCTTGAAAATGTCAGCACACCAGGAGCCATGATTTTACAGGATGCTAAGCTTTTGACTGTCATTCCCTAACAATCCAGTGAAGTACTTCGTGAAAATTTGACCATGTCGTTTTTTTATGCTTGCAAATGTTATATCTACCCTTAACATATGTTTCATTTTTGCAATAAAATGCTCTTCATATATTTCAATAATAACACAGTCAGTGATAACTATGTGTTAAGTTTCATATAAAGTGTTAAACGCAGTTGACAGAATTAAAATGAAAATCATTTTCAGAAAAAAAATCCAACCTTGTCTCTTCTTTAGTTTTCAATTTCTTAATCCTATCATGGATGGAGGATTAAATAATATTTTTAAAATGAGAGAAGAATATAAAATACAATTTTAGTGTTTATATTTTTGATGTATTTGATTCTGAAAACAAAACTTCACTTTAAAAAAGGAAGATAACAATTTATTTTTGGGAAAGAAAAAAAAGAAGAAAACTAAGTATCAATATAATCATGGTGGGACTCGAACCTGAGTCGATGGATTGGGAGTCCTACGCCGGTCCAGCAGACCATTTACGCGCTCAAATACTCTGTTAGTTATTTCTCTTTAATTATAACTGTAAGATAGGCTTATCGCGGCTTTTCACGTACACGCCCATGAAGCGCTTAGACGTAAAACACAGTCTGACAATGTAAATCACTCGTTTGATTTTGGGTGTAGCTGTTCACGTTGATCGAAATTTACCTGGAAAAGGGTGATGGGTGTCAATTGAACTAAAATCGTGAACGTCAATGAAATAAAACTCGTACAATCCTTGGTTTCAGTACGAAACACACGTGTTCAACGGATGCAGAGAAGCCTATTTCTTTTGTTCAATTCCTTTGTTGAATCTGGCGTTAACAATAAAATGTTTCCATTGAGGCGAAAGGATTAAACGCCGCGATCTTTTTTCACGCTTGAGTGCCTCTGAATGGGGAATATTGAAGCGGAAAATCACGAATTACAGCACTTAGGCAGCATTTTTATCCCACATAATGATACTTTTTGGAGAGGAAATTGTATACTGAATACAACTGTAGTTTCAAAACTCAAAAATTCGCCGTATTTAAAAAGTCGAGGTATTTTTTTTGGAAAAATTTCACTAAAACTTTCCTCATCCGAACGTAGGCGGCGCTATATACATTTCATTCTCGCACGTGCACCGTATTCAGAGTTGGCTAGCGCATTAGCGTGTGTGTATGGCATTGCAAGGGGATGGGGGCGGGGCTGGCTGCCTATTATGTATACATGTACGGTTTATAACCCTTTTTTAAAACCATTTTTCCACTAACGACTTTTAGTAAAAATATTTCGCTTGTTCCCCCCTCCCCCCATCTCACACGACAAAACAAATTCCCGCCCCCCTCTTGCTTCATGGGTATACCGGGGCCCTTTTATTAATATCCTTATACGCGTCTCTTTTGTTCCATTAAAGTTGACTTTTATTCTGATTGCATTTTGTTTCACAGACCTTAATTATCTATTGTTTTAGTTGTAGACCTATTCAACTTTTATTGGTGAGATAAATTGAAATTGTGATGCTAGGATAAGATTGGGTACAGTGGATAGCGGGTGATACTCAGATGGGGCGGCGGCTAGCGCGATAACAATGCACGCACTGTGAATGAAATATATAAAGCGCCGCCTACGTCAGGATGAGGAAAGTTTGGGTGAAATTTTTCCAAAAAAATTACCTCGACTTTTTAAATAAGGCGAATTTTGGCATTTTAAAACTATAGATGTATTCAGTATGCAATTTCCTCTTCAAAAAGTATCATTATGTGGGATAAAATGCTGCCTAAGTGCTGTAAATCGTGATTTTCCGCTTCAATATTCCCCATTCAGATGCACTCAAGCGTGAAAAAAGATCGCGGCGTTTAATCCTTTCGCCTCAATGGAAACATTTTATTGTTAACGCAAGATTCAACAATAGAATTTAACAAAAGAAATAGGCTTCTCTGCATCCGTTGAACACGTGTGTTTCAAACTGAAACCAAGGATTGTACGAGTTTTATTTCATTGAATTTCAGGATTTTAGTTCAGTTGACACCCTTTACCCTTTTCCAATTAAATTTAGATCGATTAGAACAGCTACACCCAAAATCTAACGAATGTTTTACATCGTCAGACTGTGTTTTACGTCTAAGCGTGCATGGGCGTCAACGTGAAAAGCCACGATAAGCCTATCTTACAATTGTAATTAAGCAGAACTAGTATAACATTTGAGTGCGTTAATGGTCTTGTGGACCGGCGTAGGACTCTCAATCAGGCGACTCAGGTTCGAGTCCCACCATAATTATATTATTCTTTCTTTTTTTACCTTCCCAACTTTTTATAGCCCCATGCCCAAACATAAATTTACTAAACTTATCTTTTAAATAAACTGAAGTTTTGTTTTCAGAATCCAAAACAAACTACCAAGAAAACAAACAAAACAATAACAAACAGGTATTTTTTTTCACTTTTATTTATTGTGATGATTTAATCTCCCTTTATTCAAAGAACTATGCACAGCATTTCAACAATCTTTTAAGTACACATTTACTTTTAAAATTCACCTACACAATATTTACACTGCAAGATAAGATTTATCGGACTTGAAGGGCATGTACAACATTTGCTTTCGCTGCAATTTTTCAGAAATAAATGGATTTGCAGTCATGTATTTGCAGTCTGGTGACCCCACTTATAAGATAAAACGGAGCAATTAATAGACTTTGGGGAATTGTAAGGTCAGAGAATCAGTCTAGCAGACTTGTACCTCTTCACAGGTGTGTAATCAATTGCAAAGAAAATGCGGAATAACTAATTATGAAAAATTCGGAGCAATTTTTTTAAAAATAACCAGTTTCTCCAACACTAGTCGGCCGACCAGCGTTGGAAAAGTACCATTTTTCCTTAAAATGTCAGCACATCAGGAGCCACGATTTTACAGGATGCTTTAGACTGTCATTCCCCAACAATCCAGTAAGGTATTTCGCGATAATTTGATCATTTCGTTTTGTGATGTTTGCAAATGTTATAATAAAGAAAGGCAGTAAACATTTAATGTTTTTACAGATGAAATTAAGAAATGAAGTCAGAATATCACACAATATTGGAAAAGAATGTTGCAACCTGACGCCACTTCAGCGGTTGTGTGCAAAGTCTATGGAGCGTCAAAAAAAATTTCTCTTAAGTATTTCTCAGTCCCAGATTCATGTCTTAATTATCATCATTTTTGAAATGAATGACCTTATTGAGATGATATGAAGAAAAAGCAGCATCAGGTTGCAACATTCTTTCCCAATATTGTACATGAAAAAAATATAGTATTGACAATGTGATAGATAGACGGAAAGGCTCTGCTGGCAGAAATTGTGTGCTTAGCAGCGCTATGAAATTGGGCCCAGTTCAAATCACTCATCTTCAATTTGTTTCATGCCTTCTGGACCTTACACCCTAATTACCTGACAAACGTGTTCTGAAAACTTGTACATGTATATTCATATATATAAACCATTAATTAGTATAATTACATTACATACAGATGACTACCCCCCTCCTTGAATAACCATTCCTGGCCCATTCTCATGCCGTTGGCTTGTCTCTAAACAGGCCCCAGAAACTCCAAGAAAACAAACTTGCAGAGTTGTCCTAAGCAACATTTATGACGAGAACCTTTATAATTATGATATGAGCATTTCAATGCTACCTGACTTCAACTGTCTGACTGAGTCACTGAGTATCGAGTCAGTCACTATTAGTCACGTACTGACTGACCGAGTCATTGAGTTACTGAATGAGCCACTGACTGACCGAGTCACTGAGAGAGTCACTGACCGAGTCACTTACTGAGACACTGACCGAGTCACTGAGTAGATGACAGCCACTGAGTCGCTCAATGAGTCACTGAGTGATTCACTAACCGAGTCGCTGACCGAGTCACTGACTGAGTCACTGACTGAGTCACTGACCGAGTCACTGAGTTGATGACTGAGCCACTGAGTCGCTCAATGAGTCACTGAGTGATTCACTAACCGAGTCACTGACCAAATCACTGACGAGTCGCTGACCAAATCACCGACGAGTCACTGACCAAGTCACTGACTGAATCTGACTCAATCACTGAGTCGCTGATCGAGTCACTGAGTTGCTGACTGAGTCACTGACTGAGTCACTGACTGAGTCACAGAGTCCAGCTTAACTAGGCAAGCCTACTTTGTTTATGCCATGAGAGACTAGCCTCTCTCCAGAACTGTTGTTTTCTCCTGCATAACCACCTTGCCAAAGCTAAATAGAGAAATATTCCAAGGCAAATTTCCCAACGTGACGAACAATTAAATCACTCTTAAATTAATCAACAGTACCATTCCATTATTTCAAAATCCCTTTGCGAAGCAGGGTTTTTTGGAATGTACAAATTTAAACAATCTCAAGACTAGGATAGGGACCACCTCAGGAAACTGGTACCCTGTTGTCCTTGGCCCACTTCTTCATGACACGGATGATGTATTCCACCTGTGGGTTACCGGTGTTGCACAAGATTTGGAGGATGTCTCGCAGTGTTTCTCTGTAGAGGAAAAAAAATGACAAAAATCTAGTGGCTTGAACTTCACTGGGTTTTGTGCACGTGAAAATGAAAGCTATTAACAAGATGGACTTTGCGTCGGGGTGATGTAAATCAATGTTAGGTTTTGCCCTTCACCGATGTATAAACACTGTATACTCAGTGTGTTACCTCCTGAGTGAAAGTTGGAAAAATAATCACTTGGGTGGGATTCGAACCCACGACTCGACCATGGAGCTTACGGGGTTGGTTGGCTGGCCAGGCAACCAATTCTGTAAGCTTGATGGTCCAGTGGTTAAGACGTCTGCACTAAAAAGCAGGAGGTAATGGGTTCGAGTCCCAACCGAGTGATTTTTTCAAAATTTCACTCGGGAGGTAACGCACTGAGTATACAGTGTTTATATGTCAGTGAAGGGCAAAACCTAATAGTGAAAATGAAAGCTGTTTTTAGAATATGGGGACAAATGAAAAATCCATAAAGATCAATGAAGTTGAACTAGAGGGCTAAGAAGTTGAAAAGTATTCATGAAAATTTGTAATAAAAAGCCGTATCCTCTCTGAGTGATCCCCGTTTGATATTTGCCAGGTCTGCATCGTGACTTTGGGCGTGATCCCTGGCTGCATGGCATATGCGGGTTGAGGGCTTCTGACTAGCGCCCCTTTGACAGAGACATTGACAATTAGGGAACCGCCAACATTGGGCTGGATAGCTCAGTTGGTAGAGCACCGGAGTGATATGTCAGTGCACACTGTTTGATAGATGTAGTGTGGTCACCTGACCATAAGTTGATCTGATTGGTCAGTGTGCACTGCTGATTGACAGAGATGACACCCACCTTGGTTCATGGCCAGCTATGATCTGCTGGAATACACCCACGCACGCCCCTCGCTTGCCTTCCCAGTATGCAGGATTGGGGTCCAATCTTTCCAGGACACCGAAAGCCTTGGTCGCATAGTAGAACTGGCCCATCTACCGACAGAAAAGTTGAAAACATGTGAATTGAGAAGAGTCTCTGTGATAATTATAGTTTGAGGTCGAGGCCAAAAAATCAGAAGTTCAAACAAAAAGCCTGAAGTTTTCGATCATATCGCCACCGTGTTGACAAAGTGATGAATTTGTCCCAAATCAATTTTTTAAGCAGTTGGGATTTTTGGCTATTCTAATATTTTATGATGCCTTCTACATGCTTACTAAAGTTTGTGACACAAAAGTGCATCCTTCATTATTCAAGCTAATGACACAAAGTAGTAAATGTGCAATGAATCATTTTTTTTTCTTTTTGACGGGGATTCGTATTCTCGTTGATTTTACACGTGAAAACAATGTTGCAATCAGACGCCACTTTTGTCTTCACACATCATCTCAATAAAGATGAGTTATTGCAAAAATGTTTCACAAACACGAATCTGCAGAAACATTTCCAATTTTGTTCAGAAATACTTGGAAAGTTTTCTTGACTCGCCATAGACTTTGTACCCAACGGCTGAAGTGGCGTCTGGATATGTGCATTCTTTTTTACAAGTGTGTTATATTTAGATTGACATTTTCTCTACGATTTGGGTTTTGACGAAGTGACAAATGTGTTTTGTGAAATCGGCTGCAGGTTTAGATTGAGTGACTAGATACTAATTTGGGGCTAATGCCAAAATCTTGACCAAACATACAAAAATAGGGGATGATGTTTTACCTTGTAGCCGTCGTTGGCAATGAGCTACAGCAGGCTGAACGATTCGCCAGACGTCTCCATCTTAAGGTACAACTCCCAGGCTAGTCTGGCCTTACGATTCACGATGTCTGAACAACAAAAACAACACAAAAAGGTTATAAATACATAGGATACTGCTGTAAGAAAACACATTGGGGTCCACACAAGATGGTTCGGTTCAGTGGATGCTCGTTTCAGCAATTTTTGGCCAGCAATGCTCAGTGTAACTGTGTACAATATTTGGGAGCCAAGAGGGATGTTCAATGTAGCAAATTTCTGTTGTACAATCTGCTTGAAATGTGATAAAACAAATCCAACATGGCAAATGTACGACTAAGATGTGATGTTTACACGTTTAAAACAAAAAACTTTTAACTCCGTTTAAAAATTTCTCAAAACATGTAAACAAAACCCGAATTATAGAAAAGCCTGGGACCTCCGTTCACGCGATCTTCCTTGGAGATATCCACACATAGCTCAAATAATTCACGTTGTTTTCAAACCTACTTAATTTACAAAACCTTAGAAGCACCGTAGTACTTGATTACATTTGGGGAACACGTAGTTACATTTTTACTTTATCAATGACTGCCTGCTATTTACTATGTCAACCATTGTTGATTTATCATGTCAATCACGCCGGTCTGCAGATCAGACATAATGGGTAGGCAAAAGCCACTGTCAATGGCTAAACATTTAAAACAGTTCTTAAAATATTAGCTTAACGTTTACAAAATGAAACGCAAAGTCACATCCTTAATATACAATCAGGGCGATGATTGCATGCTGGTTATGTCATTGTTAGAGACCCTTCAGTCCACCTCACACATGGGCAACATGTGCATCTCCCTAATGCCACTCTGGATTTTCCAGCAGTACATGAAATGCATGCACGCGACGTGTCGTGACTTTAGTTGGACATTTGGTTGTGCAGTCACAATTGTGAGTGGTCAATACATTATGAGTTGAGGCTTAACAGGTGGATTCATTCCCATAATTAGCAACTTGGAAGTTGGAAGAGGAAACGTCATTCACAATTGATGGTAATACTCACAGCATCTTGCCAACCAGAGACACGTGTAGTCATTCTTGATCTTCTCACTCTGAATGAGCACAAAAATCTGGAAAACAAGAGAAACGAAACCCACTCCAATTAAATCATGGTAAAACCAAGTGTTCCCACCAAAACAGTGGTCTAGGAGGCACAGAAAGATCCCCATCCGGGTTTTAGACTTGTTTTTTCATGCCTATTTGCCCTGAACAAGGCTAAAAGCCACTCCAGATATACAGGGCTACAAGTCGGAGCAAAGCAGCTAAATCAACCACACCATCTCTGCCCTCATAGGCACCCACTTATAAGCCATCAGTGTGGGGGTTTTGGTCAGTATCAAATGAGGGCAATAATGCTCATTGTGAGTTTTGGCAAGGTATGCACCCCTCTAGTCGGAAAATATGTGACAGCATTGCAGCGGTGGCAGCTTTTTGGGTGCTATCACTTTTTTCTTTTTTTTAAATGGCAGCCAAAACATGCTTGTTACAACATACAATTTATCCGGTTCAAGCATATTGACGGCAATTTTGAAAACACAAATCAAAAGTGATAACACTGCCACCACTCACACTGCAAAGCTATCACACATTCTCCAACTCTAGATGTGCCTTTCAAAAAATCGCTATGAGCATTGCTCTTTTCAATCGTCTGGTACTGGTGGCCCAATTTTTGGACCAAAGCTGATAGCCTATTACTCCTGGGTTGGGAGAAGCAATGAGTGACAAAGTGCCTTGCCCAAGGGCACACGCACCACGACCCCAGGCTGGACTCGAACCCACAACCTGCAGCTTTACCTGCAGACCACGAATCCAACGCCCTTAACCACGAGGCCACAGCACTCCACACTCCTCTTGAATCAGGACAGATCATAGGTTGGAGGGAAATAAGCACCAGGCAAGGAATTCCAAAGAGATGCAGCACGTGGGAAAATAAGCTATTGGAATATCTTTTTGTTCTACATCTAGGTATACGGCAACAGTATATGGATGAGAACAGACAGAAAGTCGGGCTTCTCTCTCAAACAGGGCCGACCATCGGTGGAAATCGATACAAAATTCCACTTTTCTTGAAAATGACAGCACACCAGGTGCCGTGATTTCACAGGATGCTTGAGACTATTATTCCCTAACAGTCAGGTATTTCATAATAACTTGGTAGTTTGGGTTTTTGATGTTTGCAAATGAAAGGCACCATGACTAGTTCAGGCACCATGACGAGTCACTGCGCCATGACTGGCCAACTATTGAGGGCGCAACAACAAAAATTTGGTCCGGGGTTCCAACCTACCTCCTCTGCTTCCTTGTAGTTGCCTGCTGTGGCTTTGGCCTGCGCATAGTTGTAGTTGAACCTATCGTCGTTGTAGAAGTAACTCTAGAAACGTAAACACACAAAAATGTCATCTTAGTTTTTCTGATAATTTTCCCACCTGCACTACTTTTTTCCCCCCCAAAAAGGGCCAATACAGCTAAACCATGCCACAGAAACAACTATGAGCAAGTTGGGGCGAGACTAGTGGTCGATTCCTGACGTAAATTCGATGCCTGAGCACTAATATCAACATGCAAACGCCTCTACTCAGACGATGGTCAAAATTGTTCACCAAATAAAGAGAATGGTCAAGAATAATTCCAAAAAAAAATTGGTCCTGAATATTAGAGGGTGATTGGCAATAAATATTGTCAGGTTTTTGGAGAAAAGTTCAAAAACGAATAGTCTCTAACATTAAATGCATTAGATAAAATGACCTGAGAGCAAATATGCAGTCCTATGCCCCCTGTCTGTCTGGCCTCAACTCCATTTTCAAAGCTGTTAATGAAATAAAATGAATCAATAAACATTACTGCAACTTTCCTAAAAAATACAGCGGTGCTGTTGAAACCCCTCGGCCTGAGTTTGTTGATATAAGGTACAAAATTACAAGTACATGTAGTAGAATAGTTAATACTGGTCAATGGAATGACCTAGACCTTGACCAATGACATTGACCTTTGACCTTTTGACCCCAAAATCAATCCAAACTTGAGTTTCCTGAAGGGCAACCCCTGAAGTTACAAACCCGAATCATATTTCTAACTTAAATTATCAACGAGAAACAATCTACCTCCAACTCACCACTGATATACTCACCCAAAAATAAGAAAATAATTTTCTGACATTCTTCTAGTTGGCTAATGTAGACATAAATGATATTTATTAATTAGAATTTGTTAACTTTAAATAACTTTTTTAGTGTTAACCTGGAATTTTCCAAGATTTACGCAAGTGCGCTGTGTTAGGGAACACTAAGCTGATTTTTGGCCCAATTTCCGGACGCCACCATTTTTAAATTTTGCTCAAAATTGTGTGACAGTGAAATTGTTTACAGAATTTAAATGGCAAACACTACTGAAAAAGTACCAGTAATAACTGAATGAATTTGAAGTTTATCAACAAAGAAGTTTGGCAACCGTGCATGAGGAAAGTCAGGAGAAACGTCGCAGTGCGCCACGTTAGGGAACACCACTATATGTGTGCATTGATACTGGGTTCTTAATTGGGGTAGGTGCGATGAACTAAAAACAATAGGCCCTGGCCCTGCTGACTATATGACTATACAATCATGGAGCTATAAAAAGAGGTCTTACCCAACAATGTATGCAAAGCATTCAAATATACTCTGGAAAGACACCCATACCTCAGACGTCACTGACCAACAAAGACTAGGAAATGTCCTTTGACATGTTTTCTCAGTTTGCATGCCATGGTAGCAACTTTTCCCTGCTAAATCCGACATTTTTGGACATATTATCCCTTTAAATGGTGGCATAGGTCACTGTAGGGAAAAATTAGTGATGTCCAGATATATGGGAATCTTTCCAGTACGCCGAAAGGAAGTTGAATTTTGAGAAATAAATAGTCCAGACTTACCTGACGTACAGGCCTATATAGCCTACCGCTGCATTATCTGCTGCATAATGTTGATCGATAACCAAACAACAGGTGGCGCTCTTTACAATTAACGGTGTCAGGTACAATCTCATTCAAGTGATGTTGAGCAGTACGCGTTGCCATGGTGATACGTCATCACTGTGCTCTGCATCCTGTATGTGCTCCACAGTTGACATCCTTGGTAGAACCTTCAAACTCTGTCAACTTCAAGAAACAAAGGAAAACAAGTTACTTTAACATCTTTACCTTCTAATTCATAAGGTTAGGTTCAAATATTGTTTTCATCTGCTATTTTTTGGAAAGGGCATTGTTTGAAGAATTTAATTGACAATAATTATTGTGAAATTTGAGAACAATTTTCCAAAAAATTGACAAATTTACAAAAGATAAAAATGGGGCCTGTAGGGCCTGAGCATACTTCCTGAACTTAGTTTAAAATCCTTACACTTACAGTTCTGAAAGAATGACTATACAATCATGGAGCTATAAAAAGAAAGTCTAACAATGTATGCAATTAAAGCATTAATAACCCCCTAGGCCCTTTTTGCTTGGAACCATCCTCAATCCTCCAAAATTTTGCAACTCCGCCTAAATTTTTAAAAATTGTCAGACAGTCCTGCCTCAAAATGCATTCATCGTCAATCCTCCAAAATCCTCCTCATCCCAAAATTTTGCACTCGTGTTTAAATGAAGGATAACCAACGCCAAATCCTTCAAAATCATCAGACAGTCCTGCCACAAAATGCATTCACCCTCATGGAGGAACTTCCTCCAAAATCCTCATGTGCTTCAATCACCATTCATCCTCAATCCTCCAGAATCCTCATTAGATTCAATCACCATTCATCCTCAATCCTCCAGAATCCTCATGCGCTTCAATCACCATTCATCCTCAATCCTCCAGAATCCTCATGTGCTTCAATCACCATTCATCCTCAATCCTCTAGAATCCTCTTGTGCTTCAATCACCATTCATCCTCAATCCTCCAGAATCCTCATGTGCTTCAATCACCATTCATCCTCAATCCTCCAGAATCCTCATGCGCTTCAATCACCATTCATCCTCAATCCTCTAGAATCCTCATGTGCTTCAATCACCATTCATCCTCAATCCTCTAGAATCCTCATGTGCTTCAATCACCATTCATCCTCAATCCTCCAGAATCCTCATGCGCTTCAATCACCATTCATCCTCAATCCTCTAGAATCCTCATGTGCTTCAATCACCATTCATCCTCAATCCTCTAGAATCCTCATGTGCTTCAATCACCATTCATCCTCAGTCCTCCAGAATCCTCATGTGCTTCAATCACCATTCATCCTCAATCCTCCAGAATCCTCATTTGATTCAATCACCATTCATCCTCAATCCTCTAGAATCATCATGTGCTTCATGAATCACCATTCATCCTCAATCCTCCAGAATCCTCCAAAACCACCAGGAGGATTTTGGAGGAGCGAGGTGGGTTAGGGTTAAAAAATACTCCGGAAAGATTCCATACCTGGAGTTCTGGACATTTAGTGAAATGTCCTTGGTGTTTTTTCAGACAGTAGGATGCTGGCAGTGGCAGTAACCATGTAGGATGGAACGCCGTATTATCGGAATATTATTGTTCGGAATAGAGATTGCCCGCTAACCTTCCCGAATTGTCCTGTCTCTGAGGTTGTATAACTCTTCCTTTTCAAATGCCTGTGAAAATAGACATGCTCGGAATGTGCGAATGGAGGTGGACTCCCTATTATCGCGGTATGTGGGAATTGTGGTTTTTACAATAATCTCAACTTTTTTTTTTCATAGTTAATGTTTTACTAAAACATCCCCTGAATAAAGTCTGATATTTTCCCTGTAACGTTCAAGTTGATTAAACTTCGACAGACTATAATTCCCTGCAGGATGATTTCTTAAAACGCGCCCTTCCCCGAAAGGAGAAGAAAATTACCGTGACAAGTCTACTGATTGGCGATTGGGCGCCATTCACTTTACAAGGTGTGCCGTTTTATATTTTCTTACGCGCTGTCCTTATTTTGATCCCGTAAAAGTGTGTACGATTTCGCGGTGGAAATATCCTCCTTTGACTTCATTTCGTGTTTGCAGCTGTAGACGGGGAACCAGACAATGGAGCTTTCATGGACAGAGCACCATTGATGATTTATGTTAAAATATAGACGGTACCTTTTAGTTTTAACAGACACGGTGAGGGAAAATTTGCAGGTTTTGGAAAATGTGAATATTTATTAAAAATCGTTAAAAGTCCCGAAAAACACAACATTTTTTAATCGTCCTTTTTTAATACGACTCGGCAGTAAGTCCTTATGGCCTGGAGGACCTGGATAAAAATCGCCACTTAAAGGAGTTTAGTCAACACAAAAGGAGAAATGTTCCATGCCGCGATAAAGGGATGCCGCGATAAAGGGACTCCGACTATAGTTTTTTTGGTAACAAATTTCCCTGCTAAATCCAAAAATTTTGGACATTTTAAACCGGAATTGTGGCATAAATCACTGAAGGGAGAAATGAGTAATGTCCAGATATGGGAATCTTTCCAGTACGCCGAAAGGAAGTTGAATTTTGACAAGTAAATAGTCCAGGCTTACCTGACAAAACATGCTTGGTGTACAGGCCTAGCCTGCCGCCACATACATTATCGGGAAAACCAAACAACAGGTGGTGCTCTTCACAATTAACGGTGTCAAATACAATCTCGTTTACGTAGTGTTGAGCGGTACGCACTGACAGGTACTTAATACGGGAAATTAAGTTACGACATAAAGTTAACCCTGGGGACAAAGTTGCGAAAAAGTTTCGAAGTCCGAATTTTCCCATCATGCATTGAGAAATCCCAATTCCTTTCTCGATAGGATTTGGGATTTGGGAATCGTTATTCGTTATCCGTTTTGCTGTCGAGAATGGATTTTGGATTCGAAGTCCGTTATCCGTTTTTCTTTTTGCTTAGGAAATGGGAATTGGTTTCGTTATCCGTTTTTCTTTTTGCTTAGGAATTGGGTTTCGTTATCCGTTTTTCTGTTTGCTTAGGAATTGGGAAATGGTTTCGTTAGGAAGGAATTAATGCGACCGGGAATTTACGGGTTATGAGATTGTCACTTTTCACACCGTTAATTGTGAAGGGCGCCGCCTCTTGTTTGATGATATCCCATTATTGTCAGCAGTCATGGCAGTAGGCGATGTATATGTAGCAGACAACTCGATCGATAACGTACATGTAAGTCATCACGTCTAGACTTTTTATTCACACTTCAATTAGTCAATTCATTATAGGCAGAGCATTTGAAGAGTACATTTGCTTAAAAAAAGCAGATAAGAGCCAATATTACATTCTATAGTTGTACCAAATTGGAAAAAACCCACCAACTAAATATTTTCGGTATAAATCCTTACTTTTTTTAGGACCCCATTCCTATATAAGGTTAAAAGACTCACCAAAACAGCTGACTAAATGACACTCAAAAGTGACATTCTGATATTTATTGACACATTTGACAATTTGGCAATGACACCTCTTGAATATCAGCAGGTTTGATTTTGTAGAAAGAGGGCAGGGTTTTGATTTATGAGGGGTTAAAGACGACGATGACAAACAGAAAATAAATTTAAAAAGCAATTGAGATGGCAAACTGCAAAAAAAGGTAGGAAAGTCACATTTTCTTTGAAAGTGCTTTCAAAATTATAACTAACATGAGTTTGTCTGAAGAAAAAAGACTTCTTTAGCCTGCCAAAGTTACTTTGGTACTGGACAGTCATCTGCAAAAGTCAGTTTTGAACAGAACTCGTACAAAATAGAGGTGTCCTAAAAGTAAGGATTACCATATTTTCCCTGATCACCTACAATCATTTTTCAAATTCAATGAACTGAGCAGTGACTGAAAGTATACAAAATAAAATGCGCTTAAAGTCCGATTCCGGAATGGGAAAGATTTCCATATAAGTTCACTAATTTTCCTCTGTATTGACTAACAAGCCCCCAAATAGCAATTTCATGTCATCAAAGTCAATTTGAGCAGTGAGAAAATACAAGCATTACATGGGAATCGATTATTCGTTTTCCGTCAATTGTCCGTTTAACTGTCGAATTGGAAAATGGGAATCGTTATTCGTTTTCCGTTTGGCTGTCGAATAGCCTTAACATCCAGAAGTGGACTTTGCTGAGTACCCGCGTAGATGTAGATAGAAAACACTTAGAATGTTTCAGTCCAATCCAGGGTTTGTACACAGGGTGTTGATGTTAGTACTATATGGAAATCTTTCCCTGGAATGTTATTTTGTGCGTTCCAGAACTACAACAAGGCGGGAGTCTGTGTTATGTTGTATGTTTGCATGTACACTACAAGCGGCAGCTGTACCAGCCGTACTGTATTCGCAAAGTAACGTGAACATAAATTGTGCATAAAATTGTGACTCAAGTCGACTCGAGTCATTACAACTCTGACCAATGCCTATTCTTAACATAGACATTGACAAAATGAGAGACTAAAACACAATGGAGCTTGGTCAAGCTCAGTTGGTAGAGCACTGGAACGGCAATCCGGAGGTCCCAGGTTCTATTCCCTCTTCCTTTCAATTTGTGGATGGTTGTATTTCCCTGTACAGGCCACAGATTATTGCATTGACTGGTCACCCTGAATGCAGGCCTGCCCTGGTTCACTTCGTCTCCCGTATCACCAAGAGCACAAGCCTTCTCATATGCGGAGCAGTGCTGATCGTAAGTAATCTGCTAAAGTTGCAATTTGTCTGTGGTTTGACAAAAGCTTGTCCCTGTGAAGCATTATTGTATTAGTTGAGTACCTTTTTACAAGTCTTGTGTACCTCTGGTGAATTATTTTAATGAATATTTCGATGAGTATTTTGAGTGCCGAAATGTGTACTCACAGTTGAGTATACTTGAAGAAGACTTTGCGGAATGAATTTTGATGAACAGTTTGAGTAAAATGCAAGCAGGTCTTTAAAAAATTAAGTCAAAGTTGCAAAATGTATAACAAGACCATTAAACCAGATTTGTCCAGGTTTTTCGCTTTTTGCAGCGCTAACGTTGGTCTTTTCCAAGATCTGGACACGATTTATTTAGAGCAAATGCATTCAAATTTTCTTTCCTGATTGGTTTCCGTCTCGATTGGTGGGTTGGGTAAGATCAAGACCAACACAATCACCAAGGAGCTCTCCAAACCCTGGATGCTGGATGAGGAAGCAGCATGGAGACCACGGAGAAGTTTCCTTGGAAGATCAGCAAGGAAGAAGTCACCACGCTCAAAGAGAAGGTAGAATCTCCTCCTTGCGCTCAAGCACCCCCCCCCCCCACAGTGAAAACTATTAACTTTATATTTATTTTTTGTGCAAGTTGGTCAGTAGTGCAGAATGATTCACGTTAACTAATGCATGCAAAATAGAAAAAAAAAGTAAATTTCAATGACTATCATCCCACCCTATATTTGTAGGCTATAGAAATGTCTAATCCCCAAAAACAGATTTTTACCTACCCTACCACAGAGTTGTTTTTTTATATGTAATAGAAAACACCACACTTTTTGTTCTTGGTTGGCCTTATTATTTTAATATATGTTTCAAATAATTTTTGTTTGTGACCCCCCCCCCCCCCCCAGGCTTGACCTACTCATCCCTCACCTCATCTCCTTGAACTCCAACTGGGGAAATGCAAGCTGCGCGTCTTTGCCACCATGGACAAGAAGGAGCAAATGGACAGGGAGAAGATGAACATGGCCAACATGCTCAGTAAGTTCCGCATCAACTGCTCGGATGTGGAGGTCATCCCGGACCTGAACAAGAAGCCCAAGGAGTAGAGCCTGATGAGACGGTTCAAGGAGCTGTCCAATTAAACCCTGGATGCTGGATGAGGAAGCAGGGGAGACCACGGAGAAGTTTCCTTGGAAGATCAGCAAGGAGGAAGTCACTACGCTCAACGAGAAGGTAGAATCTCCTCCTTGCGCTCAAGCACCCCCCCCCCCCCCCCCTCCACAGAGAAAACTATCAACGAGGGCCATTTGGGCGCCATCGTGGCTTATAAATGCTGGTACCAAATACACGATAACCAGCATGAGTGAACCAGTGAAGTGTCCCTCATTCCGGCTTCTGCTTGTTTTTACTATAAAGCGCCCTCTTTCGTCCATGCATGGAGGCAATACACTTAAAGCTTTCCCAGTATCCACTTTACACTTAGTCCCTGGTTTGTGTGATTTTAAGTCCAGTCTTGCAACATTTGTTAATTGTGTCCAACCTTTGACATTCTGGAGGCTGATTTTCAATAATGAGATTGATCACTTTCAATCCAACTCTCAGTTCATTTGATTTGCCAAGTGCATGGAACTCGACTTTAGTAAACATCAATAAATCACTCCATTTTTTCGCCTGAAATCTTTCTTTTTCTTTTAGACCAACAGACAGATGCGGATCCGTGAATTGCTTCTCCAACATTCCCAGGAGGCTCAGCTCATTGTCATGTAAGTACACAAAGCCACTACTAACTCAATAGACTCAATTTCATGGTTTAAGCACACAATTCTGTGCTGATGATCTAGCACACTAGCACAGAAATCCTGCGCTATCCCTGTAAGCACAGAAGTAATCCCCGGTAACTGATTGTTTACACTTTTGCAAAAGCCGTAATTTCTAAGTGTCATGCAAAAATGTCTGCTGTAGTGTTGGCAATTCCCATGAAAATAATGAGTGGCTAATCTAATGGCACTTACTTCACAATTACGCAAACCTACTCACTATAGCAGAAACTAGCGTGAAATCCTAAACAGGGGTGGATCTAGCTTTGGCTGGGGGGGGGGGGTGCGATGTCAAGTTTTTTTTGGGGGGGGGGATCTGGAAAATGTTTCGATTAACCTCCACATTTTTAAAATCCTTTTTTCTCATTAACAAAGTAAGCCCCCTAGCCTGCATTATAACTAATTCGTCCTTTGTCATGATATTTAATACTTCGTGATGAAATATTCTTCTATAAAACAATTTCACAAAAATGGGAAAAAAAAACAATATATCCTCCTAGCCAAGATGGTTAATATCCTCATTAATTCCTTTCAAAAAGTATCCCCCTAGCCAAGATGGTTGTAGCTTTCTCCATAATTCCCTTCTTAAAATATCCTCCTTGCCATAAATCCTTTCTAAAACAAATATCTTCCTAACCATGATGGTTCGTCTCCTCCATAATTCCCTTGTGAAAAAAATGTCCTTCTAGCCTAGATTGTTAGTCTCTTCCATAAATTCCTTCTAAAAATGTCCTTTAGCCGGGATGGTTAGTCATCTCAATAAATCCCTTCTAAAACAAATATCTTCCTAACCATGATGCTTCGTCTCCTCCATAATTCCCTTCTTAAAAAAATATTCTCCTAGCCAAGATGGTTAATCTCCTCCATGATTCCCTTCTAAAAATATCCTCCTAGCCACGATGGTTAAGTCTTCTCCAGAATTCCTTTTTTTTTTAAACCTCCGAGCCAAGATGGTTAGTCTCCTCCATAGTGCCCTTCTTAAACATATCCTCAGCCAAGATGATCAATTTCCTCCATGATTCCCTTCTTAAAATATCCTCTGAGCCAAGATGGTTAGTCTCCTCCATAATTCCCTTCTAAAAAAATATCCTCCTCACCAAGATGGTTAATCTACTCCATAATAAAAGTATCCTCATTACCAATAATTATGGTCGTCTTCTCAGTAATTCGCTTAAAACAAGTCTGAGTCTTGCGCGTAACTTTGTACACACCTGTCCCAAGTTCTTTCCACTGACTATCCCTATTGCCGAGTATGATATATGTCTATATCTTTTATAAATAGTCGTCATGCTCATTCAAAGGCATATTCATAGAAAGGTGGAAATGTCCTTGATGCCACGGTGTCAGATTTAAAGTTTGGTATACCGTGAGATATATCTAGGTTGTGTTAACTTCAGGTTTACTCCGATCTTAACGATAACCAAGTTAACGATCATTAAATAACAATTGACTGTTTTTTTCTTTTTCTGCAGGCTGGTACAAGGACAAGATTGTGCCCAAGATGGAGTTCTGTGCTGTTGGTTCTAGGCCGGGGGATGAGCCACGTAGAGCCCACATCCTGGCGTTCTTTATCACAGCTGCCGGCATAGCCATTGGTCAGTCAACTCAATCTTCCTTAAGTTGTGATATTTGCAGAGTCGCATCATCTTCAATGTAGGATCAGCAGATAATCAATGATAAATGAACGTAGCTCGTCTATAGAAGCATGTTCACTTACCCATTATCCAAATGATTAAAAAAAACACTAAGCATAATCCAATGAAGCCATTAGTCCCTGCCCCTCAAAGTGCCCTGCCTGTTACTCATTATACCGCCCCAAACCGCCCCAGCACTCTATGGTTGTATGGATTCATCCAGGAATAAATACAGTGTTGTACAATGGAATACAGAATTCTACCAAATATGACACTCATTCTTTAGAAACTGAACCGCACAAGCTCGCACATGAGGTGTTGCTGATCACTGACAACATCAAAACCAAATTGCATTACACACATATTTCTGAATTTTTAAAAGTTGGCAAGTATCTGTTTAATTTTTTAAAGGAGGGTATACATTTAGACGGCGTTGGAATCATATAGCTTAATAAGAAATCGCCCAAAGCCAATGATGAAACCACGGATTGGAAAATGCGTTTAAAGTCCGGTTCCGGAATATTATTTTGTGCGTTCCAGAACCACAAGGCGGGAGTCTGTGACACGTTGTATGTTTGTACACTACAAGCGGCGGCTGTACCGTACTGTATTCGCAAATAAGTAACATGAACATAAATTCTGCATAAAATTGTGACTCGAGTCGACTCGAGTCATTACAACTCTGACCAATGCCTATTCTTAACATAGACATTGACAAAGTGGGAGACTAAACATGATGGAGCTTGGTAGCTCAGTTGGTAGAGCACTGGAACAGCAATGCGGAGGTCCCAGGTTCTATTCCCTCTTCCTTTCAATTTGTGGATTGTTGTATTTCCCTGTACAGGCCACAGATTATTGCATTGACTGGTTGCCCTGGATGCAGGCCTGCCCTGGTTCACTTCGTCTCCCATATCACCAAGAGCACAAGCCTTCTCATATGCGGAGCAGTGCTGATCGTAAGTTATTGCTACAGTCGCAGGTTTCGTGTGATTTGATGGAAGCTTATCCTTATGAAACATTATGATCATCAAACAAGATTTGTCCAGGTTTTTGGCTTTTTGCAGCGCTAACGTTGGTCTTTTCCAAGACCTACACACGATTTATTTAGAGCAAATGCATTCAAATTTTCCTTCCTGATTGGTTTCCGACTAGATTGATGGGTTGTGACCAACACAATCATCAAGGAGCTCTCCAAACCCTGGATGCTGGATGAGGAAGCAGCCTGGAGACCAAAAGTTTCCTTGGAAGATCAACAAGGAAGAAGTCACCATGCTCAAAGAGAAGGTAGAATCTCCTCCTTGCGCTCAAGCACCCCCCCCCCCCCCCCCCCCACAGTGAAAACTATTAACTTGATATTTATTTTTGTGTAAGTTGGTCAGTAGTGCAGAATGATTCACATGTTAACTAATGCATGCAAAATAGAGAAAAAAAGTAAATTTCAATGACTATCATCCCACCCTATATTTGTAGGCTATAGAAATGTCTAATCCCCAAAACAGATTTTTACCTACCCTACCACACAGTTGGTTTTTTATATGTAATAGAAAACACCACGCTTTTTGTTCCTGGTTGGCCTTATTATTTTAATAAATGTTTCAAATAATTTTTGTTTGTGAACCCCCCCCCCCCCCCCCCCCCCCCCCCCCCCCCCCGCCCAGGCTTGACCTACTCATCCCTCACCTCATCTCCATGAAATCCAACTGGGGAAATGCAAGCTGCGCGTCTTTGCCACCACGGACAAGAAGGAGCAAATGGACAGGGCGAAGATGAACATGGCCAACATGCTCAGCAAGTTCCGCATCAACTGCTCGGACGTGGAGGTCATCGCGAACAAGAACAAGAAGCCCAAGAAGTAGAGCCTGAGACGGTTCAAGGAGCTGTCCAAACTCTGGATGCTGGATGAGGAAGCAGGCGAGACCACGGAGAAGTTTCCTTGGAAGATCTGAGCAAGAAAGTAGTCACTACGCTCAACGAGAAGGTAGAATCTCCTTCTTGCGCTCAAGCACCCCCCCCCCCTTCCACAGAGAAAACTATCAACGAGGGCCTTTTGGGCACCATCGTGGCTTATAAATGCTGGTACCAAACGAACGATAACGAGCATGAGTGAACCAGTGAAGTGTCCCTCATTCCGGCTTCTTCTTGTTTGACTATAAAGCGCCCTCTTTTGTCCATGCATGGAGACAATACACTTAGAGCTCTTCCCAGTACCCACTTTATACGGAAGATGGATAGTGCCACTCAATGAGTGTGAATATATTTTCGTTGGTGTGTATGAAAAATTATTTTTTTGTACAGCGGCCGCCACTTATTATGTGGCGGCCGTCAGATAATAAGGGGCGGCCACCACATAAGTCGCCATAATAAGTGGCGGTCGCTGTACAAAAAAAAATATATTCACACTTTTTTATGTGGCGGCTGCCACTTATTATCTGGCGGCCGCCACATAAAAAAGTGTGAAATATTTTTTTATACAGTTCCAGATGTGTTGTCTGCCAGATTCATATCCAGGAGTCTGACTCCTTTTCTGGCCACTCTTCTGTCACTACCCACAGAACCATTGGTAACATCACTTGTAACACCTCTAATGTCATATATCTCATTTCTTGCAGGGTCTGTGGAGTGCAGTATGTAGGTGAGACTAAGAATACGCTCAAGAAGCGTTTCTATGCCCACCGGTCAACGGTCAACACCAAGAAACTAGACACCCCTGTTGGTCATCACTTCAACCTGCCTAACCACTCCATTTCTGATATGATTTTGCAGGGCATTGAATCTCTTGGCCATCGCAAGGACTCAGTTCGCCTCAGCAGAGAGAAAGTGTGGATGAATCGTCTTCGAACTATTCAACCACATGGTCTCAACATCCAACTTGGAAATGACTAATCCTTCTCTTCCTCCATTGTCTTCTGTTACAGATAATCCACCTGGTCTTCCTTGTTTGTGTTTACCCATCTTCCCCCATCTTTCATCCCTTTCCACCTCCATACTGTTCCCCCCCCCCCACATCATCCCTTCACTCTCACACTCTTTTGTCCGTTCCCACTCCCTGTGACCTTTGATCCTTCCCCTTTCTGGTCCCTCCCTGTTTACACAAGACCCCTTGTGGTTTGCCCTCTCCCTTTGTTTCTTTGTTCTCTCATCCACCCTGCATCTTTCCACACCTTTCCCACCTAATCCTCCTTTTGTGTTTCCTCTTTCAGCCCTGCATGTTTGTGTGCACCCCCATGTTATTGTTTGTACCTCTGTCATTTCTGTTTTAGCCTCTGAAGAAGAACTTGCTAAGTTCGCAACGTCAGGCCACATTAATTTTAAGATTTATATTTTTTTTTTGTACAGCGGCCGCCACATAATAAGTGGCGGCCGCTGTACAAAAAAAATATTCCCCAACGCACCAAAAAAATATATTCACACTCATTGAGTGGCACTATCGGTCTTCCGTAACTTAACGCGTAGTACCTAGTTTTTGTGATTTCAACATACAGGGTAAGCAGAATATTTCGATGAGTATTTTGAGTACCGAAATGTGTACTCACAGACTTTGCGGAATGAATTTCGATGAACAGTTTGAGTTAATGCAAGCAGGTCTTTAAAGAATTAAGTCAAAGTTGTGAAATGTATAACAAGATCATTAAACCAGATTTGTCCAGGTTTCTCGCTTTTTTTCAGCACTAACGTTGGTCTTTTCCAAGACCTGAACACATTTTTTTTAGAGCAAATGCATTCAAATTTTCCTTCCTGATTGGTTTCCGTCTAGATTGGTGGGTTGGGTAAGATCAAGACCAACACAATCATCAAGGAGCTCCCCAAACCCTGGATGCTGGATGAGGAAGCAGCCTGGAGACCACGGAGAAGTTTCCTTGGAAGATCAGCAAGGAAGAAGTCACCATGCTCAAAGAGAAGGTAGAATCTCCTCCTTGGGCTCAAACACCCCCCCCCCCCCCCTCCACAGTGAAAACTATAAACTTTATATTTATTTTTGTGTAAGTTGGTCAGTAGTCGGCAGAATGATTCACATGTTAATTAATGCACGCAAAGTAGAGAAAAAAAGTAAATTTTAATGACTATGATCCCACCTTATATTTTCAGGCTATAGAAATGTCAAACCCCCCAAGACAGATTTTTACCTACCCTACCACACAGTTGTTTCTTATATGTAGACCAAAAAAAAATTTGGTCTCTGGTCAGAACAAAGTTCCGGAATTGACGCGGGGACGTGGTTTTTTTTTTTTTTTTGCTTTTTTAAATTTTTTTCAAGCTTGGATTGTACAGACAAGGCCAATTCGGGCAAGGACCATTAGTCGACTAGTGATTGATTTGTGATGTACCTTACGCCTGCGCACTGATAGCAACGTGCGAACGTCTCTAGTCAAATGCTGGTCAAAATGTCATCGCAAAACTTCCGGATCCTGGCTCTCTGCTAGCGTTATGAATACGCACGGCTATTGGTTACCAGCAAAGCAACCAACCCCAGTAGGCTGGTTCCAAATAGTCGACTAGCGTAGTCAATCACCGTCGACTAGACAGAGTTTGGGCAAACGTTAGTTAACCATTGGTCAACTATAGTCCTTGCGCGAACTTGGCCCAAGGTGGGGTACTATTTTGCTTTTTTGGTGTCCTCATTTTTTTGGTGTCCTCCATAATTTGCCTTGGTGCTCTCGATGGTGCTCTCTAGCAATTTCCCATTCCTTGGTGCTCTTTGTTAAAAAAAAAATTGAGGAGATGCGGCAATAGAGGGCGCTGTCGGAGCTACCGCGAAACATTTTGGAAAAAAAAGATTGACGGGCACGATTAAAATCGACACGCGCGCCGACCAGAGACCGACTTTTTTTTTTGGCCTAATAGAAAACACCACACTTTTTGTTCTTGGTTGGCTTTATTATTTTGTTTCAGTGTCCTATTCATTTCAGGGAGCCTTTCAGAGATCTCTCAGGTTATTCTGGATGGCTGCATGTCGAAGGAAACACATGCTTTATGTCAAAGGGAAATAATGCTCTGTATCATTTTTGTTTGTGAACCCCCCCCCCCCCCCCCTCAGCCCCCACCTCCCACCACCCCCCCCCCCCCCCAGGCTTGACCCTACTCATCCCAACCTCATCTCCTTGAAATCCAACTGGGAGAAATGCAGGCTGCGCGTCTTTGCCACCACGGGCAAGAAGGAGCAAATGGACAGGGAGAAGATGAACATGGCCAACATGCTCAGCAAGTTCTGAATCAACTGCTCGGACGTGGAGTCATCCCGGACCTGAACAAGAAGCCCAAGGAGTAGAGCCTGAGACAGTTCAAGGAGCTGTCCAAAACCTGGATGCTGGATGAGGATGCAGGCGAGACCACGGAGAAGTGTCCTTGGAAGATCAGCAAGGAAGAAGTCACTATGCTCAACGAGAAGGTAGAATCTCCTCCTTGCGCTCAAGCACCCCCCCCCCCCCCCCCCCACAGAGAAAACTATCAACGAGGGCCATTTGGGCGCCATCATGGCTTATAAATGCTGGTACCAAATACACGATAACCAGCATGAGTGAACCAGTGAAGTGTCCCTCATTCCGGCTTCTGCTTGTTTAACTATAAAGCGCCCTCTTTGTCCATGCATGGAGGCAATACACTTAAAGCTTTCCCAGTATCCACTTTACGCTTAGTCTTGCAACATCTGTTAATTGTGTCCAACCTTTGACATTCTGGTGGGTGATTTTCAATAATGAGATTGATCACTTTCAATCCATTTTTCGTACAACTCTCAGTTCATTTGATTTGCCAAGTGCATGGAACTCGACTTTAGTAAACATCAATAAATCACGACATTTTTTCGCCTGAAATCTTTTTTTTTCTTTCAGACCAACAGACAGATGCGGATCCGTGAATTGCTTCGCCAACATTCCCAGGAGGCTCAGCTCATT